GGGGGGGGGCCCGGGAGGCGTCGGACCCTTCGTGGTGGGCTGCTAGTGGGGTTACCGTGGCTTGGCTGATCACAAACGCCTTCGTAACCAGTTGTGATCCGGCTCCCAACAGGGAAAATCCCGCACTCCACAGGAGATGAGGTTTCTTCCACACGTATGGAGAAACGGGATTGCTCCCCGTTGCCTGTCATCTGCAAATCTTTAACCACCATCCAAGCGTTAAGAGCAGTGTGGCCAGCAGGTCGAGGGAGGTTCTCCTTCCCCTCTGCTCTGCCCTAGTGAGGCCCCATCTGCAGTGCTGTGTCCAGTTCTGGGCTCCCCAGTTCAAGAAAGATGAGGAGCTACTGGAGAGAGTCCAGCGGGGGGCTATGAGGATGATGAGGGGACTGGAGCATCTCTCCGACGAGGAAGGGCTGAGGGAGCTGGGCTTGTTCAGCCTGGAGAAGAGAAGGCTGAGAGGGAACCTTATGAATGCTTATAAATATCTGAAGGGTGGGTGTCAGGACGGGGCCAGACTCTTTTCAGTGATGCCCAGCGACAGGACAAGGGGCAACGGGCACAAACTGAAGCAGAGGAAGTTCCAGCTGAACATGAGGAAGAACTTCTTCCCTCTGAGGGTGACGGAGCACTGGAACAGGCTGCCCAGGGAGGTTGTGGAGTCTCCTTCTCTGGAGATATTCAAGACGCGCCTGGACAAGGTCCTGTGCAGCCTGCTCTGGGTGACCCTGCTTCAGCAGGGGGGTTGGACTGGGTGACCCACAGAGGTCCCTTCCAACCCCGAACATTCTGTGATTCTGTGAAGTTACCGAGTATCCTCCGTCCCATCTCTCGGGCTCTGATCTAAACTGAGACTTAGTTTGCTAGTTCGTGGGCAGAGGTTCTTGAACTGTTCAGAAAGGTGCAGCGTTTAATTTTGGCTATATAGCAGAATTACAGGTTATGCCATTGTGCTGCTTATTGTTTAAATTTTGAAGCTATGGAGCAGATGCTACCTTCCAGTAGCATTTTTAGTACTGCATGAAAATGTAGCAACAAAATATTACAAATTCTCAGAGGTCCCTTATGAAAGGCACTGTAGAAGTTTATTATTTGAGTGCACAGTGGCATATTTAATCCCTAATGCTGAGTTAAGGAATTGAATTCCATCAGTACAGAGGTACAGTACCATTTTTGGACTTTTGGTACTGGTATCTTGAAGTCCTTTCTTCTGCCTAGTCATTGAAATGAAATAGCAGATCGCCGCTGAATTGCTAAACTCCTCTAAAAATTAGGTACCTCATTCTTTACATGAATGTGGCTGATACAAAACCACACTTTACCACCTCCTCACTTTCCAATACATGCCCAGAACTGCCCTCGCACCTGCAGGAAGTTCAGTGTTGGTGTGCTCAACAGCTACCTAACAGCTTCTGCCCTGAACCTTCTTCTCAGCTGTGCCAGTGCAACCGCCCAAGTTCTGTGGTGAGCAGAAGGGTCCTCTACACAGATGTGCACCCAGCAGCACACGGCGTTAACGTACCTGACGCTTCCATCTTGGCTTTTTGTGTAATTCATCATCTCTGAGTGGACAGAGGGAGATCAGTTTTGCTACTTAAATCAGGCCTCCATTTGCTAGGCTTATATTGCCTCTGACTGCGGCATAAATCTGATGATTTAATTTAGCATTTGATTTCCTAGGTGCGTGTTTATCTGCGCTAGCCCGGAGTTAGGAATTGGAGCTTTGGTCCGTACGAGATGAAAGTGTCATCAATCCGGTGCAACATTCCACAGCACAGCCAGCGCCTGCTGCTGCGGACTGTGGAACAGCCCAATCCTCAGCCCTTTCGAGGGAGCTGGTTGGAGTTCACTGCAGAATGACACAAGCGATTCCTGCCGAGGTCAGCCGAGCAGGGAGCAGTCCCCAGAGCCAGGGCCAGCTAGGCAGGCAGCCCACCCTCCTGGCGGGAACGACACCGTCGCAGGGCCGCCTCGGGGTGCAGCTCTCCTCTGGGAAGTGTCATGCAGTCCAAACCAAACTCAGCTTGCACCACCTCCCCTCTGTATTCGGAGCTGAGGTACCGGGCTGCGGTTTCGTGCTGCGCCACCTCAGCTGCGTTTGCAGTGGTGTAAGGTGTGAAGTGTCCTCACAGCACAGATAAATATTAAGCTGAAACATGAACAAAAGTTTCCTGTATCAATACGATTTCTATCCTCCACTGGGTACGCCACGTTCTCGTGAGCACCTGGCACCCACGGCTCTTCAGCTGGCACATCTTATAAGGGGAGCATTTAGCTGGTTCATTATTTCTAGTTTGCTACCTGTAATGTTTCCACTTGCTGTGTACAGAGCCAAACAGCTGACACATAAATTGCGTAGAGAACCGTAGCAGCATCATGCTTTGTTCAATTATCACAGCCCGTAAAATGAGGCTTTTAGCTTTGTTGCTGGAAAACTGCCTCTATTTTAGACATAGACAGTTTCTCAGGAAGATAAACTAAAATTAGCTAAGACATTAAATTGGAATATAATTTTGAAGGATGGGATCCATGAAATTGATGCCAAAGAAAGCTGGAGCCTTAAAGATCATTTCCATTACATTTTAAAATTGTTATGTTACTGCCAAATATGCAACTACATTAATTATTAACCTTAACTGAAGAGACACTGTTTTAACGTATTTGTTATTTTTGTACATTAGAAAAACCATGACTAACTTCAAGCTGTGATGATTCTGTTAGAGGCAGGCAAAAATAAAAAAAGCCCTAAGTGTGTGGCATAAACAGAGCAAGGAATTGAATGTGCTTCAAGTAGCCGCGCATGGTGATGCACGGAAAAGAGCTGCCTGGCAAGTCTCTCAAAGTGCTCTTAGAAGTCTTGCCTTCTAGCCTCTCGTTACGCTACATGTACTTCCAAGGAGCAGAAACAGAAAGTTTACACAATTACTTTGCATTTTTCATATGGCATTTGAATGGGAGATAGTATTCTTAAGGTTCTGTGTGCAAATTGTGTTACACGGCGTGTAGCATTACTTATATATGCTTCAGTTAGCCTCAGAAGTAGCTGATTTTGTGCAAGTACAGATGTTCTAGTATTTATTACCTGCTTCCCAAGAATTGTAAAAGCTTTAGCTTGGAGCTGGCAAAGCCTTTTGCCTGTCTAAGTGAAGCGTATCTCAGAGTTCTTCAGCCGCATCCAGCTACCGTCACGAGTGTTAGCACGCTTCTAACTACTCTCAAAAAAGATCATCATCTTTTGCAAGAAGCATCAATCAATTTTCCAGAATCTTCCCCTTCCAACATAAACTGTTTTCCCACCAGCCTTTAGGAGCTTGAAATAACACACAAGCCAGTCTGACCCAGCTCCACTGTGGTGCAGGTAGGCTGATGGTCTGGCGCAAGCCAGAACTGCGCTGTGCCTTGCTCTGTTTTACAGATGCAGCTTTCACCTTTGGCTCACTGGAAGCGTTTTGAATGTGCAAGTAAAGCTGATGACTGCTTTTTTGTTCTCCCACTGCTTGCTTTCACGTGAAGAAGTCTGTTTCTTGTGCAGGGAGCTCCTGGAAGAGAGTGGACTGACTGTGGACACCTTGCAGAAGATGGGTCAGATCACATTTGAATTTGTAGGCAACTCTGAACTCATGGACGTTCACATTTTCCGGGCAGACCATTTTCATGGAGAGCCAACAGAAAGTGATGGTAGGTAGCTAGTCGAGGGGAAGGAAGGATGTGCATGCTCTTCTGACACTACTGCTCTTAAAAAATGCAGAACTGTTCATGCCAAAATCCCTTTGAGCAGGGATGCAACTGGGCTGTAGAGGGAAGCTGCTTGTTGACCCCTATTCGAAGTCTAGGCAGCAATAAAACCAAGAGAAAGTCTGATGCAAAGTTCTTGTGTTTTCTCCCGACAGAAATGCGTCCGCAGTGGTTTCAGCTGGATGAGGTGCCATTCAATCACATGTGGGCAGACGATATCTACTGGTTTCCCCTGGTGCTTCAGAAAAAGTTGTTTCGTGGCTATTTTAAGTTCCAGGGACAAGACACCATCCTGGAGCACACCCTGAAAGAAGTGGAGGAAGTTTAAGAAAACGGAAGCCCTCAACCCATGTACTGCTGCCTGCACTGGGCTAGAACACCACGAGTACTACATACAAGGGTCTCCTTTCTCAACTCTCCAGTAAAGGAGACTATTTGTCAGGTCACTGGGAAGTCAGGAAAATAAGGGACTTTCTCAGAGCAGAAATAAAAGGAAGGAGATTTTCCATACTGTGAAGTCCCTGGTGGTAGTACACTTCAGTGGTTACATGATCATGACTATTAAAAACTTAGTGTTAACCCTTTTCTTCACAGGTAGCTAATTCTTTAGGCTTTTCCCTTTGTGGCTGGGAAAGGTTTTTAAAAATTAAAAATATTTTTTAGTAAAAGCATGTGTTGTTCTGTTGTAAACAGGTGGCTACCTTTCTAGACTGTGTAAGGGCCTTTCAGGAGTTGGCTTCCTTTCACAGAAACATTAAGTGGACTGTGATGCAGCAGAATCCATGAAGTACCTTCTCTGTGCCAGTTCCTGTATTCAGCATTGCTTCCTGGGACAAGGCAAGGCCTGACCAGCGCTGTGAAAGCCTTTTGAAAAGTTTAGTTGGAGATCCCTTCAGCATCCTCCTGCTGAGTACAGCACTGTTTGAGCCCTGCTGTCAGTCCTGCAGCTCCTGCTGCAAACACAAACTGTTTTAAGCATTTCGGGTAAAAATATGCCAAACAAAATCAACTTGCAGCAAGTTGACATTACACGTTGCCGTCACCTATGGCTGCAGGCTTTGCCACAGGTCGGTAGCAGGTGACCTGTTCAGCATTCAGGTCAGCCCAACTCAGTGTGCTAGGCAGCAAAAGCTTAATCAAACTGCGCTAGAAATAACACATCACATAGGTAACTTCTTACACAAGTTTGTGTTGGGTTTTTTTGTTTTTAAACACTTTTACAAACACATATAACACTTACAGATAGAATCTTGGAATGTAACATAGGATCTGTAAACATTTCCAGTCTACCAGTTGTAGTAATAGTTCTTTAATTCCTGCATTTGGATAAAGTGCTTCATACATAAGGCTATTTGAGCAAAGCAAAGATACAGGATATTCCAGGCAGGCAAAACTCACACCCTCTGAACAAGATGGTTTCTTCTTGTCTCCCCTCCAGCAGTTCTGAATAATTTACACCACTCAAAAATGCCCTTCTTCACATGCTCAATAAGCCACAGCTCAGATGTAGAGGATAAGAGTTAACACCATAAACTTCCTTTTGTGCTGCACGCTGACTTATTTACAGAGTTTTTGATACTCGCCTCTGCTTCTGACATAACAGTAAGGGTTCCTGGCTTTTCTAATGGGAAGAATGCCTGGAGGCAAGCAGAGGAGAGAAAATAAGCAGAAGGGGATGGGCAGCTTGTAACAGGATGCAAGACCTTACTGCAAGGTAGGAAAGGGAGTGACTGGCAGCCGATACCTGTTACGTTATCTTGATTTATTTCCTGGTGGAAACTGTAAATTGCATGGTGAGAGCGAGCAAATTACTTTCTGTTCCTCCAGGAGTTTAGGTAGCAAGAGAGCAAGCGCGGCTCAAGCTTGCACTTATAGTTGCTGTCCCCTCTTCTGCAGTTAGTTCAACCCTTTTATGCAGATGCTTTCACCAGCACTGACTTCCAGCTCACGTCAAAGAGTAGTGATGTCACTGCTCCTGTTGCAGTTGTGGAGACTGACATGTTTTAACAAAGTTCTGTCCCCAGATGATGATCTTTGTCTTTTAGGAAACGGCACAAATTGAAGATTGTGAATTAGCCTGTTACAAATTTCAGGAATTACACCCTTGCATGATCAAAGTAGGAAAGTAAAAGCACTGGAATGCAGCAAGGCACTGTTGAAAACACATACAACTTAGGAGAAGCAACTTGCAAGGAAGATGGAAGGAGAGGGAAAGAAAGATCAAAGATTAAGGTTGTATTGTAAATACAATTTGGAAAGCCTTTCAACACATGACACCGGTCAAAAAGCCTGTACATCGCCACTTCATAGCTTGAAGCAGAGGAGACTTTAGAAGTGACAAAAACATATAGCCCTTTTGAGAAAACATTTATCAGGCAAAGTTTCAGGTTCTCAGCTGTTTACTACCCTGGTACCTCCACAACAGATACGACAAAAACTGACAGAAAGATTTGAGGCCTTTTCTATCATTCTACGATTCTATCATTACTATTTTGAACACATGAAAGTCCCCATGAGCTCAAGCAATACACAGAAAGCTTCCATTCAAGAAGGCACATTAACTCTTTGGCGCTACAGGAGCATCAGTTCTTGGATAGGCAGCATGCGCTCTTCAATTAGTCTTCTGGTTTGCTTAGTGTTTATTGCAATCTACGCAGCTACCAGCAATGGAACCAGCTTCATCAAGTCTTGTTCTCACTCTTGCATATAGCTAGGCTGTTTGCTGCAGAAGGCGATAGCCTGGTAACCAGAACCGTTTTCCCCACACTGAGGAGGGTAGACGCCGATTGATTCCCAGCTCCAGAGGAAGCAAGCTGTACTTGATGGGGCTCTCCAAGACTGACAGATCCCTAAACTAAACAGGACAAATACAGTAAGGAAATCCCTCACCTACTGAGGTAAACATAATAGTGCTATTTGCACACCGACCAGGCTCCCAGAAATAGGGTTTGCAAACTAAGGGCTGTATGAAATAGTGTATGCATGTATTGTGGAATGAGACAGAAGCTTGACGGTCCAGTACAAAATAAACTCTGAAAGTGCCATTAGCTGTATCAGCTTTGAGAGTACTAGGCTTCTGTTCTCAAAATAACAAGGTGAACAGAGTAAAATAACAACAAGAAAACCCCGCCCCCAAAACTGCTCTCCTCAAAGAGGCAAGGGCTGACAATGGACAAACGGGTGTTTTCTCAAAACAACATAATTCCAGTTTCTTTTTAGGCCATGTGGTCTGTGTTTATCATTATTACAGCCTCTGCACTTGGACTGTAGCATTTTTGCTTCGAAGGAGAACAGGCAAGAGGAGATAGTCTAAAGCCCAAATGTGGTTTTGTTGGTTTTTTTGATTGGTTTTGTTTTTTAAATAAAGTCCAAAAACATAACATTTTTCTAAGTGTTAGAAGTGCAAAGTTCCATTCAGGCTAATGCTTTGCAAGCACTCCTACAGAACACCGACCAGTCATCTACCCCAGCCAGACAAGTTACACAGAAGATCCACCATATATCAGATCCTGCCCCAAACATACAATATTTTCTCAATTTGACTGTTCACCACATCAGGCAAACAAGACTAAATGAGGGAGGATGGGTATTAAGACTAAGCAAATGACAGGCCATAACCAGTCAGCACCTTCTAAAGATGCTAGGAGTGAAGAGCATTTAAAAATATGGTAACATCCTTTCTGCATTTAACCACAAACTATCTTCCTAATCAAGACAAGGTCAAGCAGAAAAACCTTTTATGCCATTCTTGAGATGCTATCTTCTTTGTTACTGCACTGTAGAAACATTTCCCTCCCCAGCCAGTTTGCTCTGGCTTGTGAGCGGAATCTGTTCTGCATCGCTTTGGGAATCTTCAGGGGAGAGACTCAAATCTGTCACAGTCACTTGCAGTTGATCTGTCTCTCTGGACAAGGCCAATACGCAGGAGGAAAGACTCAGAAAGGAGTTAACATCTCAATTGCTATAAAAAGCTCTTAATAATGCATTCTTAACAAGGTTGCTACAAAGACTCCCTACGGACTCCTTAAGGCCCAGCACCCAAGAAGTTCACCCACTTAAGGGCACTTTTTCAGGAGTGTGTGTAATGGTTATGCCAGTCTCGTGAAACTGGGCAGGTAACTTACTATCTTGCTCCTAGCTGAAGAAACTAATCCATAATTTCCACCTGGACTAGAAAGAGCTTCACACTGCACTGAATTTTCTAAATGAAAGAAAAAAAAAAAAAAAGAAAAAGAAAAAAGCCTTTGTGATTGGAGGTTTTAAATATATTTCCTGTGAATGGGGAAGTTCCCCAATGGGAAAATATTCTAACAGTTCCAGTCTGACAGTGAGTACTCATCCTTGTTAATGTGCTTCCTTTTTATCCACTCGAAGAAAATACTAAGAAGCCAAGTCTCAAATTGCCCTTTGGCAGCTATTTTGGCCCCAGAGAAGTTTGGTTCATGGGAGTCCTGTTCACAGAGTTTTGCTGCATACATTTGCAGTTTCTTCACTTATCAGCTTCTCCAGAGGATATGCACAATTTCCCCTAAACTAACATGACGTGCAAGTTCTCCTCCCCCTACCCTTTGCCTCACAAGGGAAAGTCACCAGAGATGCAAAATGAAACATGGAGAATGTTGAGTCCCTTTATCACAATCACAAATCACTCCGAAAACCCCATTACCAAGGGCTGTGCTATTTTTACAGAGATAAAGAACTGTCACTTAATTGCCTTCTCTCCTTCACAATCCAATGCTACCCAGAGCCAGAAAAAAGAATGACAGTAACAACCCGATTAATACTGATTTTTTGCTAATGAACTTTCTCAGCATTGCATCCCAGCCTGCTGGTGTAACAGGATACTTCATCTGATATTAGACCAAAAAAACCACCAGCCTTCAGGTCAGCAGCTCTTCAATAGTCCTAAACAGCTACTGAACAGATGGACATCACAACATCCAGAAGAAAATAAACAAGCTACCTTAGAGCTGTTCCGCTCGTGTAGTACAAGTGGTTTACAATTAAGGAGTGTTTTATTCAATTTTTTTCTCATTTATGCCAGGCAAACTCCTCTGAGTTCCTGAACCCAGCTGTCTTTGGCCCCAAACTGAAAAAAAAAAAAATGAGCAAGTCCCTAGGCTGCCCTGCAACCATGAACTGAAACACAGACACTGCCGCCTGCGTAGGCTCACTGGGAAAAATCACTGTCACACAGCGGCACTGACCCCTGCCCAGCTGGGCTTGTGCAGCCTGCCACTTCATTCACATATTCTGCGCTAAGGTCTAGCGGTCAGAAATCAAATCCAGACACCTATCGATGGGATGGGGGATGGCTTTCAGCTTTCC